GAAGAGTCTTAAACACCACAAGATCAGACACCTGTCTCTGATTCCAATCCAACACCACAGGGTTTAATTTAGGCTTTGCTTGTATGGTACTCCTTGCTCTTGTAGTAGTCTTGATGACGCTCATTCTCCACAATACGTGATGTGCCAAATCCTACAGTATTCGTACATGACATTAGACACAGAGTTGCCAAGTTCCTAAGTGTACCACTGAAGTTGAGTCTGATTTATGTCATCAGTGGCCTGGTGCTAACCTCTTGAGACATACTTTAGCTTCCGTGCAGGACTGGCCAAGAAAACCAGAGAAGCTGGAGGTTTCATAGAGCCGCTGGGCTGGCAAGAAACCTCTCTCCACTGGTTCCTGGCTATCACTTCCAAGTCGTCATGTCCCTGCTTGATACTTGCCCTCATGGAATGATCCCTGAAGGCATGGGTGCTGCAGCAGAGTGTGGTGGAAAAAGTCAGACAGTGCTCGGTTATTAGAATGAATAGCCTGTGCGGGCTGAGGTGCCCTTCTTAGAACAAGCAGTCATCTAAGTGAGGTGTCAGCAAAGCCCACACAGAAGGAGCGCAGCAGTGCAGGTGATTCTAGGAGGGTAAAGAAGCAAGATCCGAGATCAGAGGAGGGGATTGTACTACGACATACATTCTGAGCACCAGTTTGTGGAAGTGTATGGATGCCCATGGAAGCCCCAAAGCTGTTTGTGGAGTCCCCACTCAGATGAGGCCTTCGATGTCTTAACTCCCGCCAACCATTGACCAGGCACGTGAATAGCCTTGCTCTCAGACAGAGGGCATTGCAGAATGGATGACTGCAGCGATTGTTAGGTTAAAATTGAACACATTCTTATTTGTCTTCCCATTGGGCCCATTTTGAAGGTCAGAAGGTATATTCAGGCTTCCAAACTTGTGACTGGTGTATGTCTCATGACCAGTCTGAAGGAGAGTGTTCTTTTGTGAGGTATGCTGTGGCGACTGGTGCACAGATGGAGAATCCTGTATGATGGCTTGTGTCCAAAATAACAACAGGATCCACTTTCCTCATGACATAGTTGGCCCATGTGTTGTCTCGGTAGACTAGACAAACTCATAGACATTCATAGGTGTGTAAGAAAGAGGTTTATGTACAAGAGCAATTGAATATTGGGAAAACATCCCAGCCCAGTCCAGATCAAGTCCATAAATCCAATATCAGCCCATATGTCCGATACCAATCTATAAAGTCCTCTTCAGACTCACGAAACACATGCAATGACATTGAATGCGGGAAGATCACAGGCCAGTGGGTGCAAGGTCCAGTGGCGGTGGAAGCATCTCAGTGCTGGCAGGGGTCTCCACGTGGCTCCTCCAGTTCGCAGGGCACTGGGTCTATCAGCGTAGCGCCATGTGTCTTGTCAGTTGAGTGTCTCTCAGGGAGTGAGTACTGAAAATGAGTCTCCCGCCTCCAAGGAGGAAGTAAACACAGGAGTTCCTAGAATCCTCAGGAGCAGGCCACGCCCACACAGAGGCCTCATTGGCTATGACCCGATTGACAGACTAGACTCCACCCCTTCACACTTAATCCTCTCAAGTCCCAAATGGACACCAGATGATGTAAGTACCTCAGCCTAGGATGAGGCATATCTGAATGTACTTGACATAGATATGAAGTAGTTGAAGCCATGACCCTGTATTTGGTCCTGACACGGGTGTCTCAACTCCTGTTACACGGTTGGTGGAATGTTAGCGAGGGAGCGTTGGAAAAGGGGTTGCAACTGGTAGTGCACTTGATGTCCGTATATTGTAAGAAGTTCATAACTGATTCTTATTGACCGAGTAAATAAATAGATGAATACATTTGGAGGAATCCAGGCAGGGACCTCAATTTCCTACTTCTCCCTTCCAAACTGAACTCCCACACCCTGTGTCAGTGAAAGGCTGTCCCTTTCCATCAGCTCTGGAGACTCTCCCTTCTTTCCTGCTCCCCCATACCACGCGTACTCTGTCTCCAGCAAGGTCAGTGTCCCCTGCTTACTGTTTGCCAAGAGTATCAAATTTCTCCAGCTTCATGGAACCATCTTCCAGCTGTGTTTCAGCTCTTTTGCGAGCCTGCATTGCATCTGCTTCTGGGAAAAGGCGTGGCAGTCACCCATGGTCCT